TTTGTTTTCTTGTATTTTATCGCTCTGCTGACCCTTGGGGTCCATTTTATTTTGGTATACCTTTTCTAGGTACGTTAGCCTGTGACCACGGAAATTGGCCGAGTCAAGTGATGGATTAGTACGGAGAGATTGAGACAGAAGGAGGTACTGGATAGAGAGACCGGGATGGTTTTTAATGTGAAGACAACAACAACAACAACTTTGTATGTGCACTCATGGTTGGTTATACTCCCGACAGGTGTCCTCCACAGGTAGGGTGATAACATTAAAAAAAAGTCGCACGTAACTTTCGGTGTAAGAAGGCGCGTTCTCTTTTTTTTGTGTGTGGGAATGTATGTATGTACATTATTATGCCTCATGATGATGATGATAGATAAACCCACCACAACCTCCTGCGAAAAAAGATGCATGTATGTTTCACGTCGAAGCCAAGAAAGTAGTAGATTCTAATAATAGATAGATGGATGGGTAAGGGAGAGAGACCAAAAAAGAAGCTGACCTTCTGGCATTAACTTGAAGAGGGCGGGAACCGAGGAAAAAAACTACTTCTGTAGATGGCGAAAACAAAATAAAAAACGATTCGTTGCTGTTGTGTTCTCCATATAAATATCCTCCTCACATGTAGCCTACTATGTAAGACCGACCTCGGCTGGTGGTGCGAATGTCGTCATGATCATGCATTGCAATGTACGTACAAAAATACCGAAGAAAAAAGAACTCGCAGACGGGCTTCCACAACGATAGGACGGCAACGCAAGCACGCGCGCACATAGACACACATACCTCCGACCCGGTGCCTGCCTGCCACAGTTCGTTCCCTCCGAGCCAACCAAATGAACGGAGAGATAGCGAAGATAATTGGCGTAGCATTGTGTTAACTAGAAGTTGTTGTTAGAGGCGACCCCTTGTGTTCCTCGCGTTAGTTGGGTAGGTGGGTGGAGGGAGCAGGGGGCATACATACATCAAAGTACATACATTCATGCAACATGTGTCGCCAAAAACGCGGCCTTGTGGTTGCGATCCCGCTGCAAGCGCAAATTTTTTGCAGTCGGTGGATGCACAAAAAAAAAAAAAAACATTGCATGCATCCGAACCTCGTTCTCCGTACTCCCCCCCAAACCGCTTTGTAGCCACTGCGAAAGAAAAAACAAACAGACCCACCCATAAAACCACAAACTCAAACACGCACACCTTTCAAAACACGCAGAAAAAAACAGAAGCTATTTTAGAGAAAGAATAAAAACGAACACAATCTTTCCCTCAAAGACAGAACGCACGCACGCGTGCAGGATGAATCTACGAGCAGCGAGGTGAAAACGCTACAACCACGTTCTCTACAGACTGGGCATGAACAGCCAGGCAATAAATGTAGCAACAACAAAGTGTGTGTTTGGAACAGTGAGTCTTGAACGACTCACGCGTCCACACAAATAGACCAGACTACGAATAACGGACGGATGACGGATCTTTGGGGGCGTTGACCGTGGCCTTGAACACCAAGATACAACTCGAACCAAAAAATGACGGAAGAACCCGCATATATATGCTGGAAGAGCTTCAAGCTGACGCTTTGCGGGCACAACGGTTGACGCCAATAGTACAGCATGCACCGTTGGGATTGAGCTTTCGTCATTAGAACAAAGTTTTTCCGTGGTGTACAAACAGCGCACACGCGTGTTTGGTGTGCCCTACCAAGTGCCTCCAACGGGTGACCGGCCATTATCGCAGACCGCTATCGCGCTGATACACGTTATTGGGACTACTACCATATTGGGACGTGAGAGCGAGAGGAGTGCAATGCTTGCCACACCAAGTCCAATGGAGAAAACAAATCCTCGTGCTATGCAAGCGGCCTGCCCCCATGTAGCTCTTCCTGCTGAACATGTAACATTGACTTCGCCATGGGACAAGCTTATACAAATCATCCCTGACTCTTTCCGAATCGACTCTTACGCTGTCCAAACCAAGCTAGGCGGCTGCGCCAAAACAAACGAACACGAAAAGGATACCAGCAAGTCCGTCTCCAAAAACAATGAATCAATTCCTGATAGACAAGGACGAGCGAAAACACCACGCTGACTGTGCGCCAAGAAGAAATAGGTGTGGGGTTAGTACGGTATTTCGAACGTGCTCCAGGCGCGGACAGGTGAGCGGGCATCTTTGCAGCCGACATGGCTAGACTGGATGGCTTGACAGGATATATAGTCTAGACCGTACAACACAAGATAGGCAGGCCACTGACAAGCTGATTAGCTGATGATGAAAATATGCGCGAGGCAGGGCCATCACCAGCCTACCGAAAGCAGCACGTGCGTACGATGGTGTGCAGCAACATGCACCGGCAGCAGTATAGGCAGTTGGAATCCACTAAATCAGCCGTCGCGAGCGGTCTCCAACCATTTTTAACCGCAGCTTGCTCTGTTCCTGTGTGTTGAAAATCCAAGCGATGAATCGCCCCAGGCGGCAACATACCGCATGGCTCATCAAAACATTCAAAGCATGGCCTCCATTTCCTTCCTGAGAAGAGCGGGAGTCGGCTCCTTAGCGACGCCGCTGATTCGCCTCGACCTGTATTTCAAACGCAGAACGACATGATGTACAATGCTCTCATACCAGCTTTGATGGTACATTTTACATCAGGGTAAGTGTTTCTTGCACTGGGATACTGACTGTTGTATATGTATCGTGTTCGCTCTTCTGCGGCAAGAAAGGTATGCACCCTAGACCGTAGGCACACTGCGGTAGAGACATTTCAACCGCACACGACTACACGGAGTAAAGCGATTGTGCATGACAACTCGTAAATCTACCACCAATATGGATGCACCCAGCGTCTTACCACATGGTAATCGAAATATTGAGGCTTGGTACACCTCTTATCGCACAATCCGTATATACTTATCTCGCATCTGTACACACGAGAATATTAACAGTGCATCAAAGCTTCCTGAAACAATACGATAAAAAAAAGGCATTGAGGGGCGAAGGACTGCAGAAGTGCAAGTGATGACAGTATTGACTCCGGCACGCAAAGAAAGCATCGTCTCAGGCCAAGCTTAACCTTCACACTTGAGTATCCGCTCGCTAAAGCTACAGTTGGTCTGCGAGCCGACACACGGCGGTGGGACAACAACACGAAAGCAACCTCGAGACAGACAAAAAGCCACACGCCAAAACCGAAATCCAACAGAGCGAACGACCAGAGCATGCCATCGACACTCGACCTCGTTTATCCGGTAAAACACAAACACCGACACCAACAGCTAGCTATCATAGTCAAGACCACCGACGGCACGGCCATGCAAAAGCTACAGTGCTTAGTTCGAAAAACTCGCTCGTGACCTATACATACTCCACACGTCAAGTCTCTCGTGAAAACCCTAACAGCTACCAGGTACTGCTGTTGCTAGTTCTCTCTCTCTCTCTCTCTCTCTCTCTCTCTCTCTCTCTCTCTCTCTCTCTCTCTCTCTCGCACCTCCTAACCGGCGTCAGGGTTCGCTTCCCGTCCTTGCCCGTTCCCTCCACCTGGACCGTCATGCCGCACCAAGCCAATCAGTGCCAAGCAGGCACACACAAGGATAAGGATACATCGATCGAGTCTGACAAGCGAGGCTCGACTACAACAGCGGGCAGTGAAAGTATAGAGCTTCGAATGATCGTTGTGAGAAGGAGCTTGCTAGCAGGTGCTCAGATTGTACCAAAGCATGCGTCACGCACTATTGTAGTCAGCTTGTCGTTTCGCCTCATGTGTTACGCCAACAACAGGGGGGGGGGGCAGGTGCTTCTTTGCGCCACGACTTGACAATGACAACACCAACGAGCCGGGCAAGTACAAGAAGCGGTCGCCCTTCTGCCTAGCGACCTGCAGCTAGTGACCCTGTCCAGATTTTTGTCCTTCCGTACCTCATGGCACTTCTATTGGCGAATGTTACAGTGGTGCCCGTGACCACAAGCACCAGCTACAACCTACTATAGTGTTATCGTGTTATAGGCACGCTAGGTCTTCTTTCAAGCATTCGTTGTACCTGCCGTGTAACTGCCGTGACATGGACACCTCGGTCCAAAGCACATCACCGGACCGGCCAGTAAATCTCAAGGGCTGGATCGATGTGGGCAATCATACATGCGGCTGGCCGGTTCGCCAGGGCGCTTTCTTTGGTGACGACACCATCGTGCATCACGCATCATGCAGTATGCTTCTGACAGCTGATTGGCGAGATCATGAACTCGAGTCTCGGCGAAGTGCGCCGTCCTGTATCCGTGGCTAACACTGCTATTGCTGTAGCATGCGCTTCTTCGTGAGTAATTTTGGGCGCAGCACGTGCTTAACCCTTCTCGAGATGAAATAAAAGGAAACAAGTTTTGTTTTGGAACCTCAACCCGCTGTTCGGCACGGCACATGCACTCTATAGGGGCCGTTCATGCTGCAGTAGAATGTTCGACTAAACGCGGAGAGAGCGAGTGGTACGAAAACATTGAAACAAAAAGCATACGTGCAGAACACCAAACACACCTGTGTGATGAAACTGCCGGGCGAGAGCTCTTCTCCGTCGACATCCTTGCCGCGCCTCGGGGTGGTCTGGATACACAACAGAGCAGAACCGAACAGAAACGGGACACCGTGAAAGAAACGATGCAGTGTGGATCATAACGTTGAGATTCGGCACAGCATGGAGGAAACGCTGACATCCAATCACCAATCGCCCTTAAAGGTTGCGCACCACCTGTCGCAAATCTCACATGCACCACGTTGGTACAATATGAAACGTCCAACAAACACATTCCAAGCTTGGGTAGATCGACGAGGTGTTCTAAATGAAAGTATACTAGTGTCGTACATATGATTGAATATTCCGCTTTTTCAGATCGGTCAGCACTGCAACCGCTTCAAAAAGACTTTGTCCCTCCCTACAATACAACAAGGCAAAAAGATGCTTGTGCATACAAGGCGACTAAGCCAAGATGAGCGACTGCACAAGCACCAGGTCAAGCCACAAGGTTTAAAAGACCACACCAAACCATTCGCCTAGACTAGTCGACACTGACCAGTCTAGTGGTTTGATTCCGGCTTCTAAAGAAGTTAGTCGTGGAGTTCGAATGCCCGAGGCAATCATTCTCACCCTCTTCACCAGTGGCTTGGGGTGGGGGGTACCCTTCCTCTTCCGGGGCTCGGGAGCCACCATCGCCATCGCCACCGACGCCGCCGCCGCCGTGGCAAGCTTAGGCGGAGGGGGAGCCATGGCCATGTGCGTGGACGAGGAAGTCGAGGAGACGCCACGGTCATTGCTGTCACCGTTGGCACCGCTCTTCTTCGCGCGCTCATCCTGAACCAAACCGTGCGTATGCACAGGATTTGCACAGGTAAAGGTACACGTCAAAGCTACATGGGCCGGGGAACCGCTTGCCCGTGGCGGGTCAATGAGGCAACGCGAGGTTTGTTGTATGGCAAAAACGGCAACAATACCGGAAGTGTTGACGAAACACCAACATGCATTGAAGGCAGCCGGCTCAGCTTCCTACCACATTGTAGCTACAGAGTACTCGCGTAAAGTACATGCATGTCAGGACCGAGGGAAGAATAAGGGTAAGGGGGCCTATCCTCTCCTCTCCTCTCTTCTCCTCTCCTCTCCTCTCCTCTCCTCTGAATAGGGACACAACGTTAAGACAGGTCTGCTCACGCCACAAACAACATTCGAACCACAGGTCGGTCACTCGACCCCGCAATGTTCGATCCTTGGACTGGCGGCATTGCATGTACATGTTGCACGTGATGACAGGGAATAGTACCACCTAAACAGGACAGTTAAACCGAGTTACAGCTATAGAGTAGTTGCCAACGACAAGACCCCGACGGAATCGGCGCTGCACTTACGTTACCAGCAGTAGCTTCACGAGCGGCACCGGCATCCAGGTCTGCCCCTTCCGGCACCTCCGCGACCACATCCTCTTCACGCAAGCTCCCGTCCTTGGCCCCAGCACCATCATCAACAACGTCCCTGGCAACACCACCGGGTACACGACCGGCCTCCTCTGCCTCCATGCGAGCCTTCCGAGCATCTTCTTCGGCAGCGAAGGCATTGGCTCCTTGGAGTCAAACAGGGCATACAGGTAGGTACAAGTGAGGACATAGCTTCGTGGCAGGTAAGGCTGCGGATGGCTTGGAGTACGTCAAACGGTAGGCGGTACAGTGCGCCGACACGACATAAGGGAGGCACGCAGCAGAGCGCTGAATCAAGCGGTCTCGCCTAACCCAAACACGAGCTGCTTTCGCTTTCGATACTGCCTCCTCACACAAGGGCATCTAGACGGCGCGCAGACTCGAAAACCAACACACAGCAGCCGTTCCTGGCAATGGAACATGCGCTAGACATTGAGGTGGTTTGTCGAACGTGCACGCGACGCGCGGTGATGCCTACAGCGAGATAGCCATACACCACGTCTCCGGTTTCGGAGGCTGTGATGAATATTTGTAGTATCCTTATTGAGATGTCCATATCAGGCACAAAGCTTGTGGGAGGTTGTGACTCTCTTCGTACACCAAGTGATCGCTGTCTACAAACCATGTATCATGTACACCATGTATCATGTACAGCTCCTTCCGCGATAAAATCAACGCGCGGGTCCCCCACCAGGAACACGAAAACAGCAGCAGTCTTACTACATGCTCTATCCTACGGCACGAAACAGAAACCAACGTCAACGTTGCACCCCGGCGGCTTGGACCTGTTTGCCTATAATAGTAGTAGTGGAGTGCATACAGCTTCTTTGGTACACACCAAGCGAGGGAAATCTTCCCACCATGGCTGGACTCACTGACACACTGGTGTTCTGTGCTTCCATGCGTACCGTGAGTTGTCGTCTGCTTCGACCTTCCCTCGAGAGTTAAGAACGTCCACAAACACACCGCAGTGCCGAGAGTCCCAGGCTTTCGTTATTTCAGGAAATACTCTTGGTACTGCAGGGTGGTATGGAGGGTTTTTAGTGATACAACGCTCGAACCTTGGGTCAAAATCCTTCCCTACACCGCTGGCGTTCTTTCTTGGCTACGGGGTGCCTCTCGGCAGAGCACACGTACACTACGTATGTACGGGAAGCCCCAAACCGTAGTATACTACTGCTGTACCTCGTTGAAAAACAGACACAATCCACGGGCGAAAGCGCTCAGACAAAAACTGCTGCAGGCTGTGATGGATGTGATGATGGAATAATCTACAGCGGCTGTCCAACGTTCAACTCACGTGCGATGACACCCTCGTCGATATCGCTAACGCTCAGATCACTGTCGTCGTCACTGTAGATCACTCCCGAAAAGGATTCGATTCCCTCGCCACTTGCCGTCGCGCCGCCCTTGGCCCCTGCTAACCCCAGAACACCACAAGCCACAGCAGCAGCACACGAGTTCAACGGCAAACAGAACTGGCACGTTTCGATCAACCCCACATGAAGAAAACGCAATGCGCCGCAACAGCAGGAGTGCAGCTTTCACGGCCACCGCTGAAGGCACGCTCCCCCAAGAGCGCCAACGAGTTCAATTGGAAAGTCATTAGGCACGATGAGACACCACGCAGAGATCCTGCTCAAGCAGCTATGGAGACTTATCTTGCCGGGGAAAACAAAGAGCCATGTGTTGCCGACATATTTCAAAAGCACTATTAAGCGCGGGTAGGTTAGGCCGTATCGCACCCTTCGCCACGCGAAACGTTGCAGCGAAAAAAACACTTGCACCTGGAGCGGATAACCAGGTGCATGTATTCACGTGTTGCAACTTCTGAGGAAGCCGTACGCCAATGATTCCTTCCAACATTTCGAAAGCTCCAATTCCAGCCCTAACCCAACCATCGTTTGTTCAATGCTGGGTCAGAAAAGGTAGAGTGTGTAAAACGAAGACCCTCCGACAGTCCTTGCCCTAAGCCAGACAAGAATGGTGCCCTTCCCCTGTAGGAGCGACGTGCGACTCTAAGATAACCCTAAACTAGCTGTGCTCAGCAGAAGCGACCCTCGTATTTGTTGGAATGCTTTTCCCACCACATATACTCATCGTCGCTTCGCTTCGTGCGGACACCATTGATCGTGATCGGTGCTGGCTTCAAAAATGCCTTGACAGCGACGGACAGACACTACGCTAACATACGACGGCGTACTGGCTGCACCTGACGAAGCGGCTTGCGAATCTTTTTCGTCTTCTTCTACTTCTTCGTTAGCACCTCTCATCCAATCCGGCGAGGCCCCGCTCCTTGTCGTAAGGCTCGTGTTGCTACCGCTGCCACTCGTGCTAGAGCCGGCACGGGAAGCACGGTCCACGCTGGCACCACCGCGGCCGCCGCTCTCCTTGGCAATCTTGGAAAAGTTGAGGTTTTTGATGGCCGACTGCGCGCTGCCAGTGTCATCCTCCGTGCTCAGATCGTTCGGGTCGTAGCGGAACGGAGCGGAGCTGCGCTCTCAAAGTCGAAAACCACCACGGAGCATCAACCAGCCGACACCCCAAGCCATCCCATCGGGGTATGAAATGAAACAGCCAACACGGTAGGTATTAGGTATTAAAGCCAAGAGCAGCGACACGGCGATTGACGGGCAAGATAAAGGCAGCGTTTGGTCAACGATGTGCAATGATGGGTCATGTGCTATGTTGTTGATAAGTAATCGGATACGTTGTGTTAATGCATGGCATCCATGGGTTCAACGACCTACAATCAGCATTTTGCACCATCTACCTCGAGGCATGAACAGGGCTCACGGGTAGGGCCAAGGGCACTGTGCCAACAAATCCTGTTGCGAAAGTCAACCGCCAGCGACCACACAAGCATTCGCAGAATTTCGGAACAGGGAGCAGCAGTCAAGCAGCAGATTGGCGGTGCAAGTAGGGTAGGTCAATATCAAGCACCACGACACAGAGCGGAACAACTTGAGCGAGGACGGCGCTGAACACCCGAGCTGCCCGAGGGCAACCCCCTTCTCTTCTGGACATAATCCTTATACTGTACTTCCAGCAAGAACCGACAGACAAGATGGATACAACAGTAGCTTTCGCCCTCTCCCTGCCTTCGCCCTGTCTATCTCTTCATTAGCTTCGAAGTAACGCTTCGAGGTTGTCACAGAGCAGGTGTGGGGATTGGGGAGCACCATGATGCGACAACTGAATATTCTCAGCGTGCCAAACACGTAGGGTATCGACGACGCTGCCGTCACGGTCCATATTAATATAGCGCCAGACACCTATGCAGTGGTTCAACGACCAAGGCTGTGGTGGGCAGCTGGCAGAATGAGCAACATACATGGGGCAGCCGCCTTATTCAATGTGTGACACAACTTGGTCATTCCGTCCATGCCAACCAATTCAACCCGTCATACATAGGGGGACCGAATTATTCGGGGACCTCCATTGTCAAGGATACATAGAGTACCGGGGGTTGCCACCCCACCCTACCCTACCCTACCCTTCTGCACTGGGTCACAACATACCTCGCGGGCGAGTTGCTGTTTGCGGCAGAGTTGTTGAGAGACAAGCCATCGACCGAGTCCTCGAGGAGACGATCGATGTCGGCTTCTGCACGGGCGTTCATGCGGCCTTCGAAGGCGGCCACGACCTAGAGAAGAGTGTAGAGCATCACGGGATGGAGACAGAAAGACAAGCAGGCGGGCAAGAGAGACAGAGGACGTGGCGTCACCCAAGAGGCTGACGTCTGACGAATCAACACCAATGTACATCAGAGCTGCTGCATTCAGCCAGCCAGCACCATATGTGTGGTTTGAAACTTACGCAATACCTAGGCAATCTGCAGACGTTGAGCCTTGGATCAAGCCCAACTCAAATAGCCGAAAGGGTCAAGCACGGGCACTTCACAGCGGATGTGAACACGAAGTAGCTTGACTGGGCGGCGCAACAAGAGGGCTATGTGAGGTTGTAAGGTACCTGGTATGGAATAACAGAATGCCAGCATCACAACCGTAGCTGGCGAAGCAAATGCTCCGCTCCAGTGTGAAGCCGCTCCTGCTGGTAGGGTGCGTCTCTATGCTCACAGTACTCCAACCACGCAGCCGATATACCAATGGTGCCATACGTAATGAAACTGCCCCAAACTTCTTGTGAACGTTAGTAGCCCTCTTCTCCTGAGGGAGTCGCGGTCTTCGCCAAAACATGCCTATCAACACCACCCGGATGTACCGTACCTTGCTGGACCAGGCACACTCGCTTCTGTCAACCATGAGGCGTTAGGCTCACTCACCTTGGCCATGACCTTTTGCTGGGTAGGCATGGAGATGTACGCTTCACCATCGTCCAAAAGCTTCCTAGCCTCGAGATACATACCGGCGTCCTGAAAAAGCGTGACATGGCGGTGCCGGCATATGTATGCGTAAGATGGCGACGGCAGTTTCAAACCATACAGTTTGCCCTCTCAAACCATACAGTACCGTACGGCAGCGTTGGGAGTGGTCAAAAACCAAACGTACTTGTAGAGGTCGGAGTGACGTTGCCAAATATCATTGGAGGTTGTAATCGTGTGGTGAAACGGGACGATTCGCGACGAAGAATTGTACCTCCACCGCGATCTACAACTCTTAAATGTGTAACGCTGATGAAGGGCCCTGCAGTCGAAGAATCGGTCCCGTTGCATCCGCCCAAGCATTCATCCACGACACCCCCTCACTCTCACCTCTTCCAGCTTTGCGCGAGCCGCCCAGTAAAGCGCTAGCTCGCCCACTCCTCGTCCACCTCCGGCCGAATACAGCAGGTCTCCCAATAGCGTGCGCGCAGCGTCAACGCCCGCGATCTGAACAACCCGGCACACCATTTGCACGGAAGAAACACTTCAGATGCTTTATTCATAAATATTTGATTTTTGTGGTAGAAACCACTACCCGCCGATAGTATCGCTCTACAACACTGATGAGCAGCCTTGCGGTGTTGTTGACTTTGCTAAGGTGTAAGACTCGGTCGACTCTTCAAAATACTACTGCGGACAGGTACGGTTGCATCACCGCCGGTTGACGGCTGCCGCCCTCTGTGCACTGATTCCGTAGGCTTCCAGGATAGCACTCGACAAACCCAACCCACGTAGATACGCCGTAGCCTATGCAGGCTAGAGTTCGAGGATGATTTCCAAAGCTGTATTTGAGGCAACTCTCGATTCTACCACACACTAACCGAGCAAGCGCGAGCGAGGTTTATGATGCACGCAGGCACAGGAAGGACACGCGTCATAGAGCACCAAGAAAACAAAGGTCATACTGATACTGATACTCATACTCATACTCATACTCATACTCATACTCATACGCGTGCTATGTGCTATTTCACTTCCAACTGCATGTACCACAGATCGCCCGGGGGCGACATCGCCTGACACCTGGCTCACCTCGAGCAGCATGTTGGCCTCGCTGATCTGGCTCTTGAGATAGTCCGACACCTCCTTCGTCCTCGCAGAGTCCAAGCTCCGACTCACTCCGTTCATATGCCCTGGCACTCTTGCAGCCGCAGCTGCCTTTGCCTTTCCCTGTGCCCGAGCGGTGGGAATCACAGAGCCTCCCCCTCCTGCCGCTGCCGCTGGTGCCGAACGTACGGGTGCTGGTTTGACCGCTGCTGCTGCTGCTACGGCGGTGCGCTTGAGGCGCTTCTTGAGGGAGTGGATCGGAGTTCCAGGCTGTACGCGGCGTTCGCTGGCCTGCTGTATGCTTCTTGTGTCCACCTTGCCGCGAATGAAAGGGAACACAAGCATCCGTTAGCAGTGCGTACCAAACGTCAACCGCACGATACAGCGGCATAATTATCATTTGTACAGCATGGAATACAAAGTTTTCAAACTCTACAACAAGGCCGCCAGCCTTGTCTGGAGCGCGCACCCTGAGTGATCATGGCGTGGGTTGGTGAAAAAACCCGTGTGTATGCATATGCATATCATAGAGGGCGGGAGAGGTGGGCGCAGTTTTGGGGACCGGGTATAGCCTTGATCTGCCCATACAGATAGATACGGAGAGATCGTTCGGATGCAGCTCTTCAAACAAGGAGGGAGGACACATGTGGTGACGTCACCATGAGGGTGTGACAGGGTTTGATGCACCGATGAGTGTACACGGGATAGTATCGACCACCACGGAGGAGAGATGACAGAGATGAGAGAAGACTCCCTGCTGTTCGTTGGTGTGAAGATCGTCTGGCGAACCGGGAGATGGAGGGGGGCGAGGGCTCGAGTCTACAGCCCACCCCGTTTGTCGACAAGGGAAAAGGCAGCGTTGATCCTAATTCACGTCTCCCGGCGGCTACAGCGTGGGAAACCTAGAGAACCGTGAGGTAGAATAGCTTTTAGGGTCCGGAGTTCGATTCTCCGCAATGCGCGTGTGAGTTCCGCATTGCGTATGCATCTATGCATACATAGAGTAACCTTGAGGGAAGGGCGGCTAAACCCCTCTGTTCTTGCACCACAGAGGAAACGTTCTCTGAAAACGACCCCCGAACTGTGAGTCTTCCGGGTACAGCAACTGCTGCAGTCCAGAGAGAGGCACGGCCAAAGGGTACATGTTGTAGGAAGCGGTCGGGAAGAAATGAATGGGAAAAAAAAAGGATTCCCTACTCTGTAGCTTTTCATTCGTGGATCGAAACCCAGCTAACGCGAGAACACAAGTGTACCTGGAACGGCTTGCGCTGCGGAGGAGCGGTCCTTTTGTTCACCATGTTTCCTGCACCTGGCCTCGCCTGCAGCACACCTTTCGCCACATCTTTCTTCCCTGCCCGCCCCGCAGCTGCTGCTGCTCCTTTTCCCGCCGCTCCTCCTCCTCCCCCTCCGGCTGCTGCTGCCTTATGTGCCTTTTGTATGTAAGGGGCAATCAAGACCAGGTGCGAGGGTCAGTGCCCCACCTTCGAGCCGGCGGCTACTGCTGTAGATGCCAGCGAGTGCGCGAGGAAGCGGGAGGAAGTTACGAGCGCGTGGTCCAATAGCGCAACCCGCCGGGTTTCAGCACTCGCTCTACCCTTTGTCTTTCGGTGTACGGAAAGGACGATAGGACTACGATGTACTCGCGAAGGGGTAGCAACATGTATACGCGGCACCTCTTCCCCGGAAAACGCGCGTCTCGAGCTTGCCTTGCTGCTGCTGTGCTGTGTGTATCGTGTGCATACGTTGACGTTGGGCCAGCGCGGGAGGCACACGAATTTGCTGCTGGGTCTGCTGCTGCTGGTTGGGAAAATAGCTCTGTACGTTGCATGTCAGCGGGCGGTGCAACAGAGGGTGAAGACATGGTCTGATGCGTCCACCGGGGTGCACCCACGGTTTAGTCAACGCAAGATGAGAGCAATGTCAATGTCTCAGCAGTACCTACCTCCAACGGTTTGCCTTTCGCAGCTCGCCACGCCGCGAGCTTTTCCTTTCGGGATAGAACCTCCTCCATATTTTCCCTCCTCCCTCGCTCGCTCCCTCGCTCTCTCTATCTCTTCCGTGTCTCTCCTTCTTATCTCTCCCTCTTCCTCTTGTCTCCCTCCTCCCTCCGCTTCGCGCCCGTGGTATGGATGATGTGAAAACCGCAATGGACTCGCTCTGCGTTGTTGGCGTTTTGGCCGTTGAACAATTATTGAGTCTCGTAGGTGGATCGGTCGCCGGCCGCAATAAAAAAAAAAGCACGCGCGCGCAAAAAGCGGCGGAATTCGATTCAACCTCCCGCATCAGCAGAGCGCCTCAAGCATAACCACTGCAGGCAGTGTGCTCTCGGACGCAGGACACAGCAGGACGCTCTCTCGGCGAGGAGAAAGCAATGGGTGCTTCATCGAGTCTTCAGCAGGAGTGTTTGGCGGTCCCGAGCACGGACAATGAAATAAAGGTGGCCAAATGTTCCACTACCTGTTGTAATGATGCTGAGACAGCAACGGCAGTGGCGTCGCCTGCCGTCTGTGCGCATGCGGCTGCAGGCGGTAGGTACTCAGCCAGCACTTGACACTTGCACCCAAGAACCAACATGAAATCTTCCTGTTTCGGTCGCTAACGCGCACATCGAAGCCATATCAACCGGCTTTTTCAGTGTAGCGGCAACAAATCGTATACATACAAAAAGGTGCAGAAACTTACACGACACAACTGTTAGTCAGGTCTATGAGCAGTGCCTTCGCAGATGAAATCTCAATCTTCGACCACTCGTGGTGAGATTGGGGTGGGTGTGCCCGTGCCTCCCCTCTTCGCAGCACAATACCATGCCATTCTTCACGTGATCGTTTCGTCCTCTGTCGTTGTGCATCATCTCAACCTGTTCGTCGCCGTCTTTGCTGATTCGCGCGGTGAACACCCACATGAATGACGCGACATTATCTTTCAGATATTTCGTCAGATGAGAGCGGAGTACTTTCGCCTGTCCGAGAAGGGCCTGGGTGACGCCGAGCTTCTTGGCAAGCTGCGAGAGTCGTATCAAGTCATAGTCAACCGCACAGACCCTCTCCAGAAGCACAGAGGGGACAAGGTTGCCAAGACATGGGACTGTCCCAAGGTATGTGGAGCAAGCGCAGCACGTCTATGTACACGGCAGGCAGCGACAGAACTGCTGTAGCAGAGTCATGGTTGGTCATGTCATGGACGGAGACCCCTTGGCAGCCAATCACGGCTGGCTCTCCTTATCTCGCTTCTGCTTGTGGCGCCACGATTTTACAACCTAAAAGAGCTGTAACCTCTGTTTCTCGGAACCCGCGCCGTTGTATGCATGGAAAAATCTCGTCGTTGTTGACCTCACAAGTATGGTCTCCCGGACGCATGGTCCTTTGCGAAGACATGTGTACAGAGCACACTATGCATACGTACGAGATCGCAGAAAACCTTGTGGGATGACCATCTGCAGCAGCATTATCTCAACGGGTTTCCCGCAAGTCGTGCAAGCCTGCCTCAGGCTTGCCAGTTCATCTGCAAGCCTTTAGTGTATTTTGTATTTTGCGAACCGGCAACGCCTTTTTTTGTTCATCTCCTCTACAGATACTTTACTTGCAAGGGTCTCCGGACGTAGGGGGCCTATCGGCCCCCCCGTCCTCTGGGTTGCTGTGTCTAGGTGATGGTGGAAGGGAAGTGATGTGAATGGTGGGTTAGGCTGGATACCAAGGGCGGGAATGTTGTAATTGATGGGAAGGATGAGTGTCGCATGAAAGAGGGGCCAGATGGAGGAACACAAAATTTCACGGGAATGTTTAGTATAGTATGTACTATTAGTACTGACCCGAGTATTGAGTAAGTATCTGGCTCTTTTCGCCCAGTAGAGTAATACTCACACTTTAGTACAGCTTTTCATACTCTACTAAGAATACTGTGGCGTTTAGTACAGCTCTTCGTACTAACTAAACCTTTTGTAAGTACGGCTCTTCAATACTCTACTAAACATTTTTT